GCTGCCTCCTCCATGAGAAAGGGATTAGAAAATATCCTCTTATTAGCAAAGGGAAGTGGCAAAATAGTCATTTATCTGAAGCTCTGGGTGGAGACTAAAGCCTTTCCATGAGAAATCAAACATTGACTCACGTGCCATGCTGATGAGGGTAACAAATTTATAAATTATGTACTATGCAAGCTAATAAATTCATATAAAAGCTAATGCTAGCAGAATTAGACACAAAATGGCTCTGCACTGAATTTCCACATTCACAAAATAAACATTTAATGAAAGTGAATGCATAGCATTTACCTTCAAGAAGAATCCACAAAACAAAAACCAGGGGAACTGATATTCCAAGAACTTGAATTAATAGAAAACTATAAAAGAGACCATAAAATAAACACAATTAAAATCTTTAAAAGAAAAAGAGGTAGAAACCATAGTGAAAAAATACGACATCATGAAAAACTACTAACAATTGTGAAAAAGAACCAAATAGAAATTCTAGAAATCAGAATTTTAACTAACAAAATTAGATACTCAGAGTATGCTGAACAACAGATTCAGCTACAGAGAAAGATGGTGAACTGGAAGACAGCTCTGAGGGAAATACTCAGAATGCAACAAAAAAAGCTTAAAAAAACAAAAATATCCAGCCAAAGTCAATGCACACGAAGAACAGGATAAGCAGATTCAACATATGTTCAAAACAAGCAGGATCAGGAGAGATTAGAGTAAAAGAGAGCAGATACTCTCGGGTGTCTACCCAGAAACCAGCTTCAGTTGTTGGTTTTTTTTCCTTACTAGCAGACCTCTGACTGTTTCAGTGTCCAATCCTCCTCCCTGTGACTCGGAGAAGGTTGATCGTATCCCTGGTTCTGAAAGTTAGATCTTGAGTGGTCTAAACTAATCATTGTTCTCCCTTTCTTCTTGAAAGTCAGTGGATATCTGGGAAAGCTGCTTTGATCTCACAAAGAGCCTAGAAGAGAAGTCTTTTCTTAAAGGCCAAGAGAGCAGAGCTGTGACAGCCACCTTGGGATTATTTTAGGTGCTGGGCCAACATGTTGAACATGGCAAATAAGAAAGGCTTGATCTGGAATTGTTTAATCAACAAATCCTGAAGTCAACTTCACCTTGGTTTCTAATTATGCAAAGTAACACAATTGTAAAATTATTTTTAAAGCTATTTTCAGTTAGGTTTCTGTTAGTTGATTCAAAAGCATCCAACTTACATTAGGGTAGACAGACACTTCCTACCTTAAGGTTGATGGATTATTTAGGGGTTTAATTGAACATTTTCCAGAACTGAAGAAACACATGAGTGCTTATAACAAAAGAGCATATCGAGTTCTCAGGATAAATGAGAAAAAGTTTACATCAAGGAACATCACAGTGAAAAATGACACCCAGATACAGAGAAAGTGGTAAAAGCAAATTTCCCTATAAAGAAGTAATAATCAGATAAACAGCAGACTCTTCTTTTGAAGAAAACAGAAAATAGAGGCCAGAAAACAGCGGAATAATCACAGAAGTGCTAAAGAAAAGGACTCTTGCCTTATGGTTCTATAATACCATTCAAGAGGGGACACAACGTTCTTCGGAGGCAAACAGAGACTGAATGTATACTGATCATTCCTTATTTGAATGATCCCTTTAAAAATACATTTCATGAAGGAAACTGAATCCATAAATAAGGGGTAAGGTATAAGAATCAACTGTTAGAACAGAAAATGGTAAATACATGGATGAAACTAAAATAAGAACAGCAAAAAAATGAAATCTAAATTTTAAAAGTTAAACATCGACACCAAGTTTTACAAAAATAGCTAACTTGGGAGTTTTAAAACCAAGATGAAATTAAAACTCTAAGCAAAATGGAAGCTCTTAAAGGTATGATTGGACTAAAAATACTCCTAACAAGTTAGTTTATACTCAGGCCAGAGACTTGGTTATGGCTGTTTCCCAACACCTGGACAAGTATCTGGCACATAGTAGGTACATCAGTAATTATTTGTTGATAAATGACCAGCCTTCAAAAGTTTGTCATTGTTAAGTCAAATATGAGTGTTAGCATAATAAATGTAGCCACTAAAAAAAAAATAGGATGTTAAAGCTTCCAATCCAAAAGATAGGCTGAAAAAAGGAGAAAGTACTGTTTGACATAGTTCCTCTCCAGTAGTCCTATTAGCTGGGACACTAGTGAACTCAGAATCAGAGAACCCAGGGTTGGCTGCTGTCCTTGAGATCATCTGGTCCAGTCCTCCCCAGAAAGCAGAAGGGGAATGTGGTCAAAGAGCTGCCCACCCAGGATCCAAAATCCTAGCCTCTGTCTCAAGCCCCAACAAATCCCCCAGGGGTGTACTTTTACAAGACAGAGGATTGGGAACATCCCAGCCAGGGAAGGCTTCCTGGCAGACGACCAGCCTACTCAGGGCTCAACAAGCCAGGGCATATTGAATGGAAGCAAATTCAAGGGTGACTCACATCACCACTCTCCTGGTCAGTGATGCTGCCAGACACAAAGGTGTTTCAGACTCCCACTCTCCCTACGTCCTGCCCTGAGCAAATAAATCACCGTGGGCTGCAACTCCAGGAAACAATATGACTAGAACACAACTGAGGTTTGAATAAACATATTGGAAATTATTCCTGGGAAAGAGAGCTAGCCCACTCAGGCACGTCACCAAGAAAGGCTGGATGTACCCTTGTCTTTACTGTCATGGCTCCAAGCATCATAGTCAGTCCTCTTTGGGGACTGCCTTTGGTTTTCTTGAATATTCCCAGAGACACTGGCTTGTCTGCTGGGTTAGATTACCTACAGCAACCTCAAATCATTCAAAGCCAAATCTTGTCACTCAAGGGAAGAGATCAATAACCTTTTGGGCTAATAAACAAGGCAACACTGTAGGATATTGAGACAGGTATCTATTGTGTTTTATAAACCAGCTTGCATGCTAATTCCCAAGAAATAATTCTAGAAATGTCTTGCATTGCAAAAACAGAATTACTACATAAAGGTGGATTCTCTCCCTTTCCCTTATTTAATTGGATAAATTCAGATAAGTTCTGGTTCCATCTCATATTTTTACCTTAGAATTCTGATTTCCATCAATCTACAATGGACTTTTTTCCTGCTGTTTCCCTGTACTTGTTAGAGGTTGTGTGGCATGGTGGTTAAATGTACAGACTCTAAGAACTACCGAGGTTTGAAGCCCAGCTCCTGTAAGAAAGAATATTATCTTTCTGAGGGGCTTAAGAATCCATCTTCCAATGCAGGGGATGTGGGTTCCCATGGGAACTAAGAACCCATATGCTGCAGGACAATTAAGCCCATGTGCTACAACTAGAGAAGCCTGAGAGGTCTGCAGCCTGTGCTCCACAACACAAGAGCCCACACGCCGCAACTAGGGAAGACTGTGCACAGCAATGAAGAGCCCATGTGCCACAGTGAAGACTGGGTACAGCCAAAATAAAAGAAAAAAATTAAACATAAAGAAAGCTTTACCATTGAGGGTAATGCTTGCTGTGGGTTGCAGGATATAAAATTAACACACAGAAATCCCTTGCATTCCTATACACTAACAATGAGAAAACAGAAAGAGAAATTAAGGAAACAATACCATTCACCATTGCAACAAAAAGAATAAAATACTTAGGAGTATATCTACCTAAAGAAACAAAAGACCTATACATAGAAAACTATAAAACACTGATGAAAGAAATCAAAGAGGACACAAACAGATGGAGAAATATACCGTGTTCATGGATTGGAAGAATCAATATTGTCAAAATGGCTAT